ATATCGTTAACACCATGGACTTCATCAGTGACATAGTGGAGGAAGGGATCCTGATAAAGGGCATTTCAGACATTTTTCCCAGGGACTGAGATAAAAAAAGACAATACAGGCTTCAAAGCAACGTTTACCTACTCTGCAAATTGCACCATTGAATAAATAAGTGAAAATCACCTATACATTGTATTAACCTTTTTGAGTGATGCTTTGTTTTAAATGTATATTAAAGAGTTGAGATAAGTGGAATCACAATCCAGTTCAGTCTAGGCACAGTCAGGGCACAATATGCAAATTAGGAATCAAGAGTCAAGATGGGCTGCCCATTTCCAGAATAGAGGTAAATACTTCTGTGTGGATTTCACTATTTAGCTTAATTTTTGAGGCACTTTTTTTAAACAAACATATATTTGCTATATACAGGGGTTAAGTACACTTTTTTTGACATTCTTTATTTGTTTAAGTTTTTGCAAAGTAAAAACGTTACTGTTTTTTTCATAAAGAGTAAATATTAACGAACGGGTTAACAGTGTCAAATGAAATGGCAGTGATACAGTGATACACTACAGCTCAATTGTTATTAAGGTAGGGTATTGGTATCGGCCAGTGACTTCGCTGAGACAGTATTTATCCAAATACGATCAGTGTCGATACAGCGATTGTAGCAAGAGTAAGAGTTTTATTTAGCACATCCCCTCTTCAAAAGAGCGCTTTGACCTAGCAACTGTGAATAGGTGCCTATCATATTTCGATATAGTAATAGGGGAATGGTACCCCATCTTGGTGGAATGTAAGGAGATGTACACTTTATATAAAAACATTGGAAGTACAATTTGTCCTCCTTAAAATCATTAAGACTAACACAACTTAATTAACTTTAAAAAATACCCCTGTAAAACAAAACAAAAGAAACAGTAAAAATAGTTGAGCAACTTGAAAAGTAAGCCCTCTGTATCCTTTCGCAATGTTCTAACATTATTTTAATGGCTTTATGTTTCATCCACCTTCCATGTTCAGAGATCATTGTCATGCAGCTTGCAAGGCTTCATGCTCGGTCCGCTGGGAGCTGGGTGTTGGGAGCAGAACCATTTCATGATGTAGTTGGCCAGCACTCCTCTAAGGCTGACTGCAAATAAAAATCAATCCACCAAAAAAGAATTTAATACCAGCAATGCATTCTACAGGGACAGCATAGTACTTACATATATTGGCAGACAAATAGTGCTAAGATGAAGATGTTCTAACAGAATCTACTCTGCCTCAACCTTTAACCATCTCTTTTATGCACACACACAATGCATCTTAACCTAAAATAAATAAAGATAAATAAATAATCATGCACCTCCTCACATATAATGATAGTAAGTTTGCATTTTAGGCATATGACCCATCTTTTGGTCCATTGTACAGCGTTGCGGAATTTGTTGGTGCCTTATAAATTATAATAATATTAATAATATACTATATTTACTAAATTTGAATATTAGTTTCTGGCCAAACTGCTATTCAGGGGAATTTTGGACGATTGGCTGATCGGCTAAAATCCCAGTCAAAATGTACTTGAATCAAAAACCAACCGAAATGCACAATGACCCAGTATGTCTGTTTGGGTTTCTGATTCTGAATTCCCGTGGCACCAAAAAAAAGATGATTGATGGGGGGAAAAAAAGCTAATCTGTGTCTAGGGAACAATCACTAAATGTTGATATTATTCACAGATCAAGTAAGAAGTGAGCAAAATATAGGACAAGTAAAACAATGTATTTTGTTGTATTTATAAATTAGCGTTCTAATAAAGATATAATACATAACTATAGAATCTTTTTTACCCTTTTTTCCCCTCTATTGGTTATTTTTTCTCACCTGCTCTATGAACAAAATTGAGAGAAAATGCTAGATATTATTATACATTTTGCAGCACTCTGATTGGCCCATTTTCACACCTTTTTGGGTTTTTTTCTGATTCTGCTCCTAAATTGTAATCTTGGCTCTGAAATTCTGCCGAGCCGAAGTGACATTCATCCAAAATTCAGATGTCGCAAGAAAATAACTATTTCCAGAATAATGGTTACATGTCATGTAGTCTGTTGAAGGAGAAAAAAGCTCAGCAAAGAAAAGTACAGTGAACGTCCGTGCTGCAACAGGAATTGTGCTCACAGCTCACAGGTCTATATACGGCTAACATTGTGTTTAACTCCTTGAATGTTACCATAACGTTTACTGCAATCTAAGGCAGTCGAGCCTCCTCTACATCTGTTTCTATTTAACTCTCAAACCACGGATAACGTATAGCTCTTTATGTTTTTTGTTTTTTTTTGTGAGTGCTTCTCACTGAGAAGGGATATTTTCCTTTATGGACAACAATCCTAAGATCTGGTCATACACTCTGATTATTTTACCATTTCTCCTATTTCTGCTTAATGTCTGACCTATATTTGTGAGCTGGATTATTAGCTGATCCCGGCAATTGGTTATAATGGTACGTCTAAAAGCATTGTCCTCTAAACACAGAAGTTCTAAAAAAGCATGTCCAACATACTCCATTCTACGGCTATTTGGTTCTAACTGTGTGATTATTGTCACGTATTCCACACATAAATATGTGATTAATGGCATTTACTGTTCTGACAGGAAAAGTTGTGCCACACAAAATTACTGTCCTGACAGGAAAAGTTGTGCCGAGCAGCAATCAATCCACAGGAGTGTTTGTGCTGAGCAGCAATCATGCAAATAAGAATCTGGTAACTGCCTTTGGGGTCAAAGGCCGGTTACAACCAATTGGATCCACAGGCAGGATATTTAGGCCCAGTTCTCCTCTTGCTCAGGGCCCTGTCATGGTTTCCCTTGTGGTTGTCCGAGAGCGCGTTATTGATTCTGGTTTTTCTGGTTATTTGACTTTGGCATTGATTTTGACTTCCCTGTTTTCTGGCATCCCTGACCCCTGGCCTTTCTTTATCGTTGTGTCTCTTTCTATGTCTCTTGACCTCGGCTATTCCTGACTATTCTTTGGTACGTTAGGCTGGCCATTCTAAGGTCCGGTATACGTTACTTATCAGCCCTCTCTGTTACACAATTCTATGTGCTGGATCATTCTGTAATCCTGACAATTATATAGTTGGCTGTTAATCAGAGTAAAAAGTGTGTTTCTTGAACTCAGTCAACAGTCCTTTGGACATCAAGTAAGCATAATTCACACCAAGGCAAGTCAGATGCTCAGGGGGAAGATGTTTTTAAACATAGTTTTTTCTATGTTTATTAACCAACTTCCAAGTTGAATCAAAGCCTGTAACAAGCCACTGTGGTCATGTTCAGTCCTGGAACTCAGGTGCAGTAACAGCCCTCCCTTACAAGCACGATTCACAGAGATCCTGAGGTTGAGAACAGGATTCTGTCCGGTCAGTGATGTCACGGGGGCTTTAATAAGAATAACAGAATAATCCAAGGCAAGGTATCTGAAGAAGAGTCAGGCAGAAATCAGAGTCAGACGTCCCCAAGGTCAGGGTAGGTGGCAATCAGCAAAATCCAGATAGCATGCAAAATCAGGAAACCAGCAAGGACAGGAAACACGGGGAACAAGGAGTTTTGAGGCAGGCAACAAAACAACCAGCACTGACTAAAAGGTGTGCTCTGCTTTTAAAGGAGTGGCTCAATCACATAATCTGGTCTCACCTGTAGGAGGGGTTACCTAAGGTCAATGTGACTGACTGTGGGACTCAGCCCCATCTTGGATGCATCATTATCTTGGCTCCACCCCTCAGCCACACCTCCTCTGACCTGCAGACTAGTCTCCTCAAGCAATGGCTGCCATCTTGGAATGCTAGAACAATCACTGCGAGTTCCTCGGCCATGAATAGAGGTTCAGAGTATGCAGACTGGGGTGCAGCAGCCACAGGCACTATAACCACTGCAGAAAATGCAGATACAATGCCACAAAGTATACTTAAATGTGGTGAATATAGTGCATAAGTATCAAAATATACTTATCTGAAGTATTTGAACTAGACAGCCTCTCAAGATCGTGACCAAGTCCCCGACCTTTTACAACATATGTAGATATACAAAAAATTCTGATATACGGCTGTGTGAAATCTAGATCAGGAACAAAAAATATACATAGTGTGATACAGTAAACAAATCAATAGTGCGCTGTAATTAACCCCTTAAGACCGGAGGGCGTACTATTACGTCCTCTAATAGGTGGCTCTAAACGCCGCCGGGCGTAATAGTACGCCCTCCGGTCTTTCTGTACTTACCCGGTCGCCGGCGGTCCCATGCCGGCGATCGCGGTGGGGGGGACTCCCAGGGAGCCCCCCGCGGCACGACCGTCCTCCAGGAAGCCCCCCGGCCGTGTGAGAGTGGGGTCCTAGCGAGGACCTAGCTTCTGTATTGCCAGCAGGGGGGCTGCCTGTAATGACAGGTGGTCCCCCTGCTGGCTGAAAATAAAAATAAAATAAATAAATAGTGTAAAAAAATAAATAATATATACTTAGATCATATATATATATTATATATATATATGATCAAAGTATATATATACACATATACATACACACATGTACACCGTCTAGGTGTATTTTACTATTAATATATATATAATTATATATATATATATTAATATCAAATTACACATACACTGATACTGATTAAATATATATA